GCAGAATCTAATTTCAGCCTAGAATCTATCTCTTTTAAATTCTGCGCATTTTTCTGCGCAGACGCTCGACTCTTAACGCTGCCATGTAAAGGCACCTTAACGCTGCCATGTAATGGCACCTTTAAGAGTCGAGCGTCTGCGTAGAAAATTGCGCAAAATCTAATTTTAGCCTAGAATCTATCTCTTTTAAATTCTGCGCATTTTTCTGCGCAGACGCTCGACGCTTAATGCTGCCATGTAAAGGCACCTTTATATTTAAGACCAATTTATTGCATTTTTTAACGAAAATTAACAAATTAATCATTTCCCTAGCGACGCCGTTGTCACTCATCGGCCGCCTATCGGAACTATATGGCTCAGAAGCCAACGGCGAGAATATTCAAACCTAATATAACATAAAACGATTGCTCCTTAATTGCTTCGCATTGCTCCATCATTATTTTCATGATTTATTGCATTTTTTAACGAAAATTAACAAATTAATTATTTCCCTAGCGACGCCGTTGTCACCTATCGGCCGCCTATCGGAACTATCTGGCTCAGAAGCCAACGGCGAGAATATTCAAACCTAATATAACATAAAACGATTGCTCCTTAATTGCTTCGCATTGCTCCATCATTATTTTCATGATTTATTGCATTTTTTAACGAAAATTAACAAATTAATTATTTCCCTAGCGACGCCGTTGTCACCTAACGGCCGCCTATCGGAATTATATGGCTCAGAAGCCAACGGCGAGAATATTCAAACATAATATAACATAAAACGATTGCTACTTAATTGCTTCGTATTTCTCCATCATTATTTTCATGATTTATTGCATTTTTTATTAAAAATTAACAAATTAATAATTTCCCTAGCGACACCGTTGTCACCTATCGGCCGCTTATCGGAACTATATGGCTCAGAAGCCAACGACGAGAATATTCAAACATAATATAACAGCTCTATTGTTTATAACTATATCTCAAAGAGTTTAATCAACGTTTCTTATTGATTTTTTGGTAGAATAATTGCACCTCGCTTGCTCTATTATCCCAGATAGCCAAGTCTGTTCGCATAGAATTATCCCAGACAGCACATGTCCCTAAAAGACATCTAAAAGACGGTTTAAAGACGTCTTAATGTCCTTTAGACATCTTTAAGATGTCTTTTGGTCTTCTTGTGCTGTCTGGGATTATAGCAGATAGCCAGCAAAAACCGAGCAGGATCTGCACAACGCAATTTAATGTCAAATTGATAGCAGAAATCAAGCAGGATCTGCGCGCCCGCAATCTGACGGCAGATTGGTAGCAGAAATCGAGCAGGATCTGCTAACATGACTTGACATCAGATTGTCGGCAGAAATCGAGCAAGATCTGCGTGCGCGCAATCTGATGGTAAATTGGCAGTAGAAATCAAACAGAATCTGCAGCTTTTAGCATTCATATAATTTATTGAAATAGTATAGTTTATTCGCTTACAGCTATGCGGCGCACTATTCACTTTCTATACCCGTATTCAAGTTCTTGTCACGAGCGTATATAATGCCTGCAAAATGCGGCTAATAACATCGTAATTATTTCTATCAGTTTAATTTCTGATACGACTCCCATACCGCGTAGTCTGATACGGGCTTAAGACGATTTTAAATATGAAGCAATTAAAGAACAATCGTTTTATGTTGAATATACTTGCAGTAGACTACGGAAAATATGTTTTTCCAAAAAAATGATTGGTTTTTTTTGCTAATATATCATAAAAAGATTAATTATACAAGTGGAGCGATCGCGAATATCATAATAGAGCAAGCGAGGTGCAATTATTCTACCAAAAAAATCAACAAGAAACGTTGATTAAACTCTTTGAGATATAGTTATAAACAATAGAGCTGTTATATTATGTTTAAATATTCTCGCCGTTGACTGCTGAGCCATATAGTTTCGATAGGCGGCCGATAGGTGATGACGGCGTCACTAGGGATGTGGTAGCGTTATAGTTAAATCACTAGACTTTCCTTT